GGTTATGTCGTTTGGCCTTAGTAACGCTCTTAGTACGTTCATAAGAGTTATGACTCAAGTTTTGCACCCGTTCTTAGGAAAATTTGTTGTGGTCTATTTTGATGACATTTTGATCTACAGTAGTTCGGTGGATCAACATCTTGATCATCTAAGACAAGCCTGTGAGATTATGAGAAAAACAATTGTATGCAAACCCTAAGAAATGTATGTTCCTCACAGATCGTGTCACTTTTCTCGGATTTATCATATCCTCTCAAGGAAGAATATCAGCTGACCCGAGAAAGTTCGAGCGATTAACGAGTGGCCTGAATCGAAAAATATCATAGATGTTCGAAATTTCCATGGATTGGCCACCTTTTATCAGAGGTTTATTAGAAATTTTAGCACGATCGTGGCACCCATAACTGACTGCTTAAAGAAGGGAGAATTTCATTGAACCTTATCTGCCACTAAAGCATTCGAGGAGATCAAAAAGAGAATGATTGAGGCCCCAGTTATGCGCCTTCCTGATTTTTCTAAAATTTTTTAAGTAACCTGTGACGCGTCTGGTATTGGGATAGGAGTTTTGTCGCAAGAGGGACACCCTGTTGCCTATTTTAGCGATAAGTTGAATGATATCAGACACTGGTACTTGACCTACGATATGGAGTTTTACGCGATCATTCAGTCCCTTAGGTATTGGAGACACTACTTGCTGCCGCAAGAATTCGTTATATTTTCGGACCACGAGGCTTTGCACTACATTAATTCGCAAAAGAAACTCAACGCTCGTCACGGTCGTGGGGTTGAATTCCTGCATGAATACATTTATACGATTAGGCACAAAGCAGGATCGAAAAATAAGGCTACCGATGCACTAAGCCGTCGGATGATGATTACTCGTGAAATGAGGACTGAAGTGATAGGTTTCGAGCGACTTAAGGAAGACTATTTGGCCTGCCCTGACTTTAAGGGAACCTATTCTGCATTGTCGACTATAGGTGAACGGATTGTAGATACTTCATATTGGAAGGCGGTTACTTATTTAAATCTCAGAAATTATGTATTCCCAATACCTCACTTCGAGAATTCCTCGTTTGAAAATTACACGCTGGAGGTTTAGCTGGACATTTTGGGCAATCAAAAACCATTGCTACTATTGAACATAGATTCTTTTGGCCCAGTCTGAAGCGAGATGTTAGTAGGTTGGTCAAGAGATGCCATACTTGTCAACTAGCTAAGCAAAGGAAACAGAATATCGGTCTCTACACGTCCCTTCCCATACCCAACTGTCCTTGGTAGGACGTTAGCATGGATTTTATTTTAGGTTTACCCAAGACTGTTAGAAAATAAGACTCCGTGTGTGTGATTGTGGATAGATTTTCTAAGATGGTGCACTTCCTCCCGTGCTCCAAAACATTTGATGCTTCTAGGATCGTCAAATTGTATTTCGATGAAATTGTCAGGCTTCATGGGTTACCTAAAACCATTGTGTCGGATCGAGATGTAAAATTCACTAGCTATTTTTGGAAGACGTTGTGGTTCAAAATGGGCACTAAACTACAATTCTCCACCGCTTCCCACCTCAGACGGATGGTCAGACGAAAGTCGTAAACATAAGCCTAGGTAACCTCCTTAGGACCTTGGTAGGTGAACACATTAGAGATTGAGATTCTAAGTTGCCTATTATCGAGTTTGCTTATAACAATTCCATTAACCGAACCACAGGTCTGAGTCCAGCTGAAATTGTGTACGGATATCAACCTAAGCAACCAATAGATTTAATTACCATGGGTCCTAAGTTTAGAACATCTGAGTTTGCATCTGCATTTGCATCACATCTACAAGAATTACATAAGGAAATTAACAAAAAGAATGAACAAAGCAATGCTAACTATAAACTTAATGCAGACCTCAAAAATGATTTAAAGAATTTGAAGTGGAAGAATTTGTAATGGTTCAACTTCGTCCGGAGCGGTTCCCGCAAGGGGCCGTTAAGAAATTACATGCGAGAAGCACAGGACCTTTCAAAATAACATTTAAAATAAATAGTAATGCTTATGTGCTAGACCTTCCCGAGGGTTTTAACATTAAACCTACATTTAACATCAAAGATTTTGCAGCCTGAGGGTCCAGAGTTTAACCCCACTAATCCACTACATACTGAGCCTTGTGTGACCCTACATGGTGAGAACCCCACCCTACCTCCACTCCCAAACCTTCCCACTTTACCCACTGCGGAGAAGACTGAGGCAATACTTAGCGATGAAATTATTTCCACTGAAGACGGTGGTTGCCAAAGGTATGTAGTTCAATGGGTAGGAAAATCGGAGACAGAGAACACATGGATCAATCGGGATGAGCTGCAGAGGTTGAACCCTGATCTACTGGAGTGGTACGAGAGTTTCAGGGATGCTTACTCGACAGAGTCGAGCTTTCTCCCACCTGGGGAGAATGATGAGGACATCAGTCAGAGATTTCGACATGTATACCGTCGACGTAGTCGTGGATCGACGTCTACGATTCAAAGTCTGTATTTTTTATGTATTTTTTGTTTTATGTTTTATGTTGCATTTGAGTTTTCCCATTTTACCCCTATGAGGAATTGAGTCTATGTTGTAGCAGGAGGACACTTAAGTCTTTTCTATTTTCTTTCATTTGGGCATATTTATAGGATGCCTCTTGCATTGTAATGGATGATAATTATTAAGTAAAATTTCAGATTTTTCTTTGTCTCAAGTTGTGAGCTCTTGAGTGGAGAGAACCCTAGGAGAGGGATATGCAATACCCGACAGCCGCCGGTGAATTCCAAGCTCTCGGTTAGTCTTTTGATTTATCTACTTCATACCCATCTTTCTCCTCCCTACTGCCACCCTTCCCTTTAATTTCCCCCCATACCCGAACCCTTCCCAAACCCCCATACCGCCGGCCTCCATTAACTCCCTAGCCGCCGACGTCCTATCAAGATCCGCAGCCAACCACCACCCCGCCACCCCTCTTCCACCCAGGCCCAACCCGTCGGCTCCCCTTAGCTCTATTTTGAATTTCGAATTCAAAAGGGGGACTTCATTACCTTCCTAAAATAAGCTCGAGTTATTTAGGGAAGTTTCCAACTTGGATTTCAATCAAATTTTGAAATTCAAATACTTTCTAAATGCTTGGACTTAAATTAGGAAATTTGTTTATTTGAACAAAATATGGAATATATTTCAGATTTGATTTAGATCCAATAATTAACCATTGGAGCCCACCTAATTAAAACAAGATCTCCCTCTCCCCCTCTATATGGCCGACCCCCTTAATCCTTTCCCCCCTCTCTCCAATTAGCATTTAATTCTCATTAATGCCCACATAAGCCACCAGCCCCCATTACCTTGTTGGATAAATTTTGAAATTCAAATTAGTCTCTTCCCCCACCTTTGAAAATCTGAATTTAATTTCAGATTACTAAATCTCACCCTTCCCCCACTCTACCCAACCGATGGCCTCTCTCTCCACCGCCACCTCCTCTCCCTCTTCTCCCCACTTGTACTCTCTCATCCCTCATAGCAAGCATGTATGGAGAATCCGGAAATTGATCACGGTTGTGTTCAATTCTCAAGGGGAGATCGACGTCATCCAATCCCCTTTTTTTGACCTTGGATTTGGATTCGATCACACCGTCGAGGAATACGTCGACCGTATTCTCTTCCATCTAGCGACATCATTGACGAACAACGACTTACGGGAGAGTGGAAGATCACCGAACGCTCACCCGTTCCTCCAACTTCGACCCCTTCCCCGACGACTAATACCCTCGGCATCGCGTGTCTTCTAGTGACATCTCTAAGTTTGCTTGCAATATTCTTCCACTAAGCCAATCACTATCAAGAGTGTGAGTGAGGGATCCCAAGGTGAACGATCTAATTATTAAACTGTAGACTTTGTTAACTTGCCATTTGCTTTACTCATTTATTTGTTTTTGTTGTTTTGCAAGTATCCTAGTAATCTCAATTGTAATCGCTTGCCGTTACTTAGTCCTTTCATGGAGTTTTCTAAGATCTAACTTGAAGAAGCATCCATTTATATTTAGCCAAGCAAAGTTCACATTTTACTAATTTCTTAAAGCAATTCTTGTTTATCATCATTGTTTCACATCATCTCATATGCTCTTTCATTGGCCTGCTTGCGTAGAGTGTAAAGGCCTACAACCGTTTTGTCCTATGGGATAGTGCGATCATACCCTTTGCATTCTGTTCCATGCCAAGCAGAATCTTTTCGGAGACCCACACATCCATAAAGAGAACTCCACTCGCAAACCATGAAAACTTGTACAGGGTCACTTTGGCAAAATAGCCACCCTACATAAGAGTTGATCCTGGAGGAACAACACAAGATGTACTCGAAGGAAGAGCATGGTAGTTTCCTCTGCAAGAGGAACACGTAACAACGGCTGCAAAATGGTGGAGGTCCTCTCCATAGATGTGAGCCCCACAGCAGCCTCACTCTAACCTTCTTGTGGAACAAGTAAACCCATACGGCAGGTACACAAGGATGTCCCAAGTGGGAATTCTAGGCATTTAAAGGAAGAAGCATGAACAAGCCTCCCTAACTCGTAGCTATTGCCATCACATGCCACTGATTAACCTAGGCCAATGGAATTGTTAGTAAGTTAGATAAAGCGTCTGAGATATATAACAGAATATTCCCCATCTCTTTGTCAACCAGCGTAATGGTTTTGAAAGAGGAAAGAACTTGAGGTTATGAATGCAATATTCATGCCTGTAATAAACCTAAACAAGATCATAATGCACAACAATAAAACATAAAATACTAACATGCTTGCTAGCCTAACGAGAGAATGTGGGTCTCTAAAAGATCTTTGTAGGATTCCATATTAGCAAATCTCAGACTATAGTTGGTATTCCTATTTAACTATTGAAACAGCACTTACGGTAGAAGAAAATAGCATTTAACATTCTACTTGAATTCCACAAAAATAAGTGACACACTTTTGTTTTGTTATTTTAAAACATGCCTACCTTCTGCATCTCATATTTTGTAAGTGTATCGCCAATCATGATAGACATCCGGCAAGCACGTGACGCCAACATGGCACGAACTCTTGAAGGACAAATAGAATCAGCGGTGTCCATTTTGTAACTACTAATGATGGAGCACTCTCCTTCGCTATCATTGAGGGTAGAAATAAGCTCCTTAAGATCTGCGTTAAAGAAGGAGAAACCCAACTCTTAATTTCCTTTACAAGTACAAGTGGCGAAAGTGATATAAACTGAATAATCCAGGCAAAGCTCAAATCTTGGTTACCTTCTACTCCAAAAGTCATGTTCTTACTGAATGGTACAGCTTTTAGTAGAAATCGATGCCTGGGAGGTGCATTCATGTCTTCCATCAGAAGAAAGCCGTTTTTCCTTAATTGAAGCATACGTAACTATGAGGCTAGCAACAAAAGTGCAAGTCGCATAAATCAACAGAGAGAAAATCAACAAGCCACGCAATATGTAAGATCATTAGGGAATGAATGAAAATACCAAGGTTAATGTTTTGAAGTCATGCCAAACAAAAAGAAGAATGACAATTTCAGAATATAAAAAGACAGGTCCAACTTGGAAACCATGTATTACCCAATCAAAGAAAGCTACCATAAATTTTGTATAAGATTCCAAAACATTGACAGACAGAAATATCCCAAGAATAATAAGGATAGCCAAAGAAAATTTGGAAAGAAAAAATAAAAGACGCCGACAAAACCTACTTAAATGTCCCACTTGTTGATGGGATTAGGATGCATGTTAATGTAGTATGGTAAAGTAGTGTCATATGCTTCAAGGAAATTAAAGAACCATGAAAGAAATTATCCTACCAATGATTTAGAATTGACAACAAAAATTTTTGCACTCAAGATATGGAGACATAAATATGGAGATAGATGTGAAGTATTGATGTAGACAAAAGGGGGGTCAACCCATGTCCAAAATAATATGAATTTTGGCTTTCCTTGAGTCTACTAGCTCAATCAAAATTGAGCTGAAATTTTAGCTCATTTATGAGCTGGTTTTTAGTTCATTAAATGGAACTAAAAGTTAGCTCATTATTAGCTATGATTTTAGCTCATAGTTATCTTTTTATTTAATGTAATTTTATGCTTTTTATGTTTTAGTTATTGTTGTCTCTTGGAATTCCAAACCGGCCTTTGGAATTCTAAGAAATGTCTTTTCCCATGAGGTGACTCATTGGTTTCCTCCATGGCCTATTGTTTTTTGTGCTTTGCCTCTTGGAATTCTGGCTGGCCGCTGGTTTTCTAGTGCCTGGGCTCTTTCCCGAGGCCGTGGCCCCTTGGTTCCGTGCGGCCTCCTTGTTTCCCGCGGTGGCTGCTTCGGTTCCTGGTTTGGGTTGATTTCCGTGAGCATGGGGAAGGATTTCTATGCTTATGGTGCTTTGTTTCTTGTGTTAAAATTTATGTTATGTGTCTTTTGGTCTTCCCCTTTCATACCTATATATATGAGGGGTATTGTAATGTTTGAAATATGAGTTATGAAAATGTTATTTTTGGAAAAGCTATAACCTGCGGGTTTGCTTTGAAAATCCTGCGGGCTCTTTCCACCCTTCTTTCTCATCCCCTCCGAAAATCCTGCGGGCTCTTTCCAACCTTTCTTCTCGGGCTTCTAACCTCTTTCGTCTCTCCGCAAGTGCCACTCCACCTGTATCTTTCTTCTAAGTGCAGCAACTTTAGGGTGTCTTTTTATTTTATTTAAAGTCTAGTTTGTAAGTTTTTATTTATGTCAAATTTGAAATGTAAGAGTTTGTTCTCTTCTCTCTTCTCATCTTGAATTTCATCTCAAGTCGGGTCTTTTCGTTGTTGTGTCGTTTGCATTCTCTCTTGTGCAGGCGAGGGGTATAGGCTCCCTATATTTCTTGCCCCCACCAAGTATTTCTAGATCATAAAAGTCTAAAATATATATTTAATTATAAGGAATTTAATTTAAGGCTGAAATGATGGTTATAACTCATTAAAGTTTATGATTTAGATATACAGTACCACCCTGAAAAGACAAATGCTGTTGCAGATGCATTAAATAGAAAGACTTCCAATAGTGGAAATTGGATGATCACATAACAGGAGCAAATAATTAAGGATATGAAAAGATTGAAACTTTCAATGGTAAATGCTAAATATACAAATTTCCTATCATAAAAATCAGCTAACAATACAATCGACATTGAAATATCAAATATGTAATTTATTGTCTCGATATTTTAGTTTCCAAGACATTATAAATAAAGTAAAAGCAAGCCAGCTTGAAAATTTTGTATTAAATGAAAATAAAATACTGAAAAATAAGGTAGAATATATTTTTCAAATGTTAAAAATTAAAAAAAAAAAAAGATTCTAAAGGAAGCACATATTTCTGATTATACAATTAACCCAGACACCAATAAATTGTATCAAGAGCTTAAAAGAATATTTTGATGACCAAGATTAAAAAAAAAAGTTATAGAATTGGTAGTTAAATGTATCTCATGTCAAAGTAGAGCATAAAAAACAAGGTGGACAGTTGCAACTTTTACCAATACATAAGTGGAAACCCTAAAAATTAAGATGGAATTATAATTGGATTACCTAGATTGAGACAGAGACGTGGTAGTATATGGGTTATTAGAGATCGATTAATGAAGTCCACTCATTTTTTGACAATCAAAAAAATATATTTTGTGAAAAAATAGCAAAGACATGTTGATGAAATTGCAAAATTACATGGGGTGCAAAAATCTACAGTTTCAAATAGAGATGACAAATTTACTAGATTGTGGAAGAAGATTGAAGATTCAATACAACACTAAATTAACATTCAATATTGTATTTCATCCTCAAACAGATAGGTAATTAGAAAGAACTATACAAACCCTAGAAGATTTACTCCGATTGTTTGCACTGAATTTTGGTGGGAATTGAGAATCATATTTACCATTAGTAGAATTTGCTTATAAGAATAATTTTCAATACAATATCGAAATGACACAATATAAAGCTCTTTACGGAAGAAAATGCACGACACCTTTATTCTGGGTGGAGACAGGAGAAAGAAAAGTGATTGGTACTAGATAGATGATGCTACTAATTATATTAGATTGATCAGAGACAGATTGAAGACTATTCATGACAAACAATGAATATATTATGATGTCAAATACAGATCATTTGAATTTATTTTTATTAAAGTCAGTCCCATAAAAGGTGTATACCATAGGAAAACTTAGCCCACGATAAATTGGACAATTTGAAATTATTGAAATAATTTGAAATACGGCTTATAGATTAGGTCTACCAGTATATATATGCAAGGAATACAATATGTTTTTCATATATCTACACTTCATAAATACATACTTGATGAATCTGAGTGAACTGAGTCAAATTCAATTGAGTTGCAACCTAATTTGAATTTTTTAGAAAAGTCTGAAAGAATACTGGAATATGATATGAAATGACAAAGGAAGCGATAGATGTCAGCCATTCAAATTTTATAAAAGCATGTAACAGAAAGAGAGGCCACATGAGAGAAGGAATAAAAAATGAAAGATCAATTTCCACACTTATTCAATTAAGGTATGGTTGCTTTATTTTCATTTAAATTTCGAAGAAGAAATTTTATTAAGGGAAGATTGTAATAACTGGATCGATTCTGTTGAACCGATGTAGCAGAGGCGAGAGCAGCATGAAGCGGGCAAAGCACCCGAGCAAAGTGAGCGAGAAAACAGCGAGTGTAGGCAAAGTCCTGCGAAAGGGTGCTGACGACGAATCGAAACTGAGTAGATGCAACTCCTCACATGTTTAAGGGAGAACTCACTTGTGTTTGTGTGGGTTCCGCGAAGACGAAGGAGGGAGTGATTGTGTGCTTAACTGTGTCTTTAATCGATAAAGGAGAAGAAATTCAAGATAGTAGCAAGGTAATTCCTATTCGACATAAAGGGAGGAGAGTGTTAATAGAAACGAGTTGTATTTATTTTGTATATTCATTAAAATCATAGAAAGAGAAGAAATCCGGTGTTTTCTCATGATTTTCTCTCATGTTTATGTCTCAAATCCCATGATGAGTAGATTGATTGAAATCATCCTTGACATTTCTTCAAATCTAGAGAGCTGAAACAAGCAAAAATTTTTAATTCAAATGTTTGCACACTTAATCAAATTAGTTTGCATAGCTCAAATCCCAAATGAATGCATGTTGAAGGTCATTTGCTAAGATTGTTGCATGTCCAAAATTTGCAATATCACAAACACGTTAATCAAATTTATAAGTGTTTGCAAAGCAAAGGTAGAGTACTCTATGGCTTTCACGAGCTCATAGATCATACCCCACCACACATTGAAATTTGTTTAAAATGTTTGGTGCAATTTGCAAGTTAATCGATTAAGGGAAATGACAAGTAGCTTAAGCATATGGTGAAACTCCTAAAATGATGAACCATCTCATGCATACTCCTAGATTTCTCTTAGATCATGACAAAATTGATCTTTAGAATCTATTTAGAGGCATTTAAGAGAATCCCCTCTCCAAATGAGTCCAAAACACTCTCTACTCAAATAAGGAGCTCTCTTTCAATGATCTTTTACCTTATATGTGATATTTTGGAGCCTCCCCAAGGCTCCAAATATTTTATATATGAATCATTTGATCTTTAAACAAAATTCTAAGTTATCCATCTCATTTGTTGAAACACAAAATCAACAAACCATCATTCCATCTGTCATGCATGATAATTTAAAATCTTCCAAAAATTTTAAAAATATCATTGCATGAAGGCCTTGAACTTAGAACCAAACCTTAAGTTCCCCCATCTCATTTGTTAAATACAAAATCAATGAATGACCTCTTGAATCCTCGTCTCCTCCATTTATTTAGCCTAAATTAAGTGAATGATCATTTCTCTTTGAATACAAGATATTCAAAGAACCATCTCAAATTTGTATTTTCTTTTCATTTTCTACAAGCCAAAATTGTAGGAAATTCTCCAATTCTCCTTAAGCCTAAAAGCCATAGGAAACCTCCCATCTCCTTACTTGATGCTTCTCTAAACTCAAATAAAAGTTCTCAAATGACTTTTAGAGAGTTTAGGAGAAGATTAGCGAATCATAAAAATCAAAATCATAAAGCCATTCATTTGTTTAACCCAAGTCAAACAAATGAATTTTCCTCTTTGAATACAAAAATTTAAAGAGATCTTTTTGATTTGTAGCCCTGAAGCTACAATCTTCTATCTTATCTTCCTTTCATTCCTCCAACCTAAGTTGTAGAAGAATTGACTCTTCTCTTTGAACATCTAAAAGTTCAAAGAAATTCATTGTGATTTGTAATCCAAATTTACGTATCACCCTCTCACATTTGCCTAACCCAACTTAGGTAGATGA